CCATCGCTCGCTTTTTTGTTGGAGGCCATTGCTAGGTTGGAGGCCATCGCACGCTCTTAGGTTTGGGGCCATCGCTAGGTTAGAGGCCATTGCTTTTGCTTTAGCTTATGGATTTTGTGGAACTGGCTGACTGGGTCGCTGAAGGAGCGGCAATCGCCGTCGGGGTACCTCGAACGACCCGAAAGCGGTGTTTTTAACGCCGTTTTTGGGAGCCTGGTGGACTTCCATGTTGTCCAAAAAGCACACATCCAGCATTTTTTGCTCAGAGAGGGCATGAATTGTGTGTAAGGTGCTGTTTCTTTTGGCGGACGGCCAGGTAATCTTAGCTGGATGATCAGTCCATAGCTTGCTAAACAGCCATCTCCGACACGAATGATAGACCTTTTTGTTCATTTGTTCATGTTTGTTCCCTTTTGACACTCCAGCTCATTGCACGCTTGTTTTGCCATATGCACAAGAAGAGGATGATCCCTGTAGGAGTAACGCCAAAAACACCTATACTTGTGGAATGTCTATGACCAATATTGTGTCCGCTGTTGTAGACCATTCGACACCAACACTCCTTGCTTTTGGGATCTCCGTGAAACGCCTTTCTTCTCCACTGAACCGGTGTTACGGCTCCAGCACCGACCGTTGAACAGCTGCGAGACGATTCGCCATGGGTCGTGTCCGAACGAAGACTGTGAAGAAGACGCGGCGACAGCCACGAGAAGATTCAGAAAGAGAGGAGTCCGCCTGCCGGTGTTTAGGGATAGCTTTGTTTTCCATCCAAAGTTGTGAATGCTCACAGTTGACCAATTGTCAGAACACGGTGTTCAAATAGCCAACCAGCTCATCTACTCTTGATGTGCAGATTTTCCCGCACTACCTTGGCAACTAGAAGAAGTGATGCTCTATTTCGAGACAATGGGGTACTGTATACATTCATCAAGGCTAAAGATTGTTTTTTTTTGTAGCGCTGACACTCAAGAGCAGGTTGGTTCTCAGCCGACATGTCGACCTCTGGACTTCTTGTTGGCCCTCTTTTTCGCACTTTCACCGGCGTTCTGCATGCGCGAAGTGGCCCAAACTCAGATTCAGAATATCATTTCCATCCAAAGAATGAGTGTCATTCTGGGCAAATGGAGGACCCAAACTTTGAGCCGGTAAAATGAAACGAAGAGGTGGGAGTGCAGGGGACTGCCGGAACACCATGTACTGTATATACACCATGATTCTGTTTTGTCCACGACACCGTGGATGTCCAGTGGATCTTGAAGGGGCAGAAGACATCTGGGCTTCGCCACAAGGCAGTCTCTCTCTCTCTCTCTTTCCAGCACTTCCATCCAGAGAAATGATGCCGCCCAAACGACCACTGGTCGACCGCACCCGAGGTAGAGGCGCTTGACCCCTCGACCCCGCCCTGTTCTCCGTGTCAGGCCGCACGGGTGGCAAGTTGACCTTGATTTCCAGCACCGGCCCCCAGAGGAAGCGGTCGTTTCTCCGCCCCGCAAAAGCGCTGAAGAACCGTCATCCCAAATTCAACACTCATTGGCTGGGTGGTTTTCTGTTGGTGTCCCAGGCGGCTTCGTGGGTTTCCGGTCCAAAACTTCGCCGTCCGACCGTCTCGAGCTCCAGAGTGGGCGGGGCGGCGGCAGCAGCCGTTTCGACGAGCAAAGGGACCGGCGTTGACGAACCGATGGAGGTCGCTGGCTGTCCGCTGGCTGCTGTATGGGTTTGCGATTTTTGAGAGTTCCAAGGATTCCGGCGCGGATGCGAAACTGCTCGGCACAGCATCGACTCGGAGAAGAGTCGACAGCCAGAGGGTCTACCCTTTGCGGCATTATACGGCAGTATACCCTATGTAGACACAGTATCGACAGAATATGGAGACCCAGCCCCTCACCGATTTGAAGCTCCAGAACCCCAAGCTCGACAGTAGAGGTGCGACCACCACAAGCAGAAATGAAGGGCCACAAGCTTTTGGAAGACTTCGGAAGACTTTTGAACCAATTGGAACTTGGATTGGTTGCTTTGGCTTGGACGGTCTGCAGTTGTGGGTCCTTCCAGTTTCACTTTCGTTCCGTTTACGAAGATGGATGTCTTTGTCGAACGGTGTTCTCTAGGTGTTCTGGTTATGGATCCTCAACTTATGCGTCGTGGAACGGCTGCGAGACGAATGGCTGGGGAGTTGCTGCCGAATTCCAACTGGTGGTAGTGGCACCAGTGGTGTTTCCATGTGTTCCCAAACAACCATCGGTCATTTGGGAAGCGGGAGCACGTTGAGCGCGAGCCGCCGCCGCAGCTGCTTTGTTCGCGATTCAACCTGAGTTGTGAAGCGAACCCACTCCCCTCTCTTTTCTTCTCAACTTGCTCGAAGCCACGATCATTGCAATGGCTGTCGTAGGGCCTCAAGGTTGCGCCGAGAACCACGTTGAGGCTGGATGGGCTCTTTGAGAGTTCAGGACACCGGTCCGGTGACCCTGTGACCTGCAAACGTCATGGGTCCTGACCTAGGTCAGTCTGACTGGAACTCCATGTCAGGTCCGAATGGCCAAAGTTTGGCACGAAAGCCACCAAAGATGACATCGGAAATTGAGAACACGTTGCACAAGGATGACAGAATAAACAGGATGACAGTAGTTGTATGTTGCCAAGCTAGTCTTTTTTGGTTTCATGTGGCTTGGTGTGGTAGCTTGCATTCAAAGGCATACAGCATATCTCAAAATTTTGTGGTATTCTACCGGAGTTTGACATGGAATCTGAAGCTCGCTTATTGTTCTTTGTTCTACGGTTGATTCTCTGTATTTTCATAGTTATGCACGACGCTCACAGCAGCTGCACCAAACTTTTTCTGAAGTGCTCTTCGTCAGAAAAGAATTGGTCGCATTCGTGAACCACGGCGATGAATCCTTCTTCAAACCGCCACATTCGGTCCCACAGAAAACGTTTGCACAAAACAACAACCACATACAATGAACACATGCATGAAATCCTCACATTTGCACAATATCATATTTACTCCATCCTATGTTTCCACAAAAAGAGTGAACCTTATACAACGAACGGTTACGCCAATTGAATATGTGGAGGTCGGGCTACGGGCAACTTCCTCAGAGAATGCATCATACATCGAACGTAATGACTGTCCCCCATACCACCCTGTACATCGCATTCATCGTCTTACGCAAAGCATGAAGCGTAGAACCCAACGCAGCAGCGAGCATCGAACGTTGTACTAAGTCCCACAACCAAAAATACTATAATGACAACACCCCAAAACAGCTGCATACGCACGTGGGACCTGGGACCGTTGCGGCTACTGTCCGCGGAAAACAGGCAAGGACAAGTTGACGTTGGCTGCAAGCGTGACGGTGACGGTGGCGAAAGCAACTTAAAATGACAACACTGTGACACTCAATCTAAACATAGTCCAACTTAGATGTTCAGTTTGCCTTGCAAAAAGAAGGCAGAACTCTAAAGCCACTGCGCTTTAATAGGGTATCTATTGGTATGAACAACTAGTTTGTTGGTTTAACCTGTGGTTTGCTCGGCAGCCACAAATCATGTTTCTCTATAATACGGATCTTTGCATCTCGTTTTTTCAGTTCTAGGTTTGTTCTGGAGAACCCTTTTGGGGACTGATGATTGGTGTAGGGGTTCATGATCGATGTCTGAACGTAATTGTTAAAGTCATGGAAATGGGCAGCACAACAGAGACACATACCCCGAGTACCTTAAGTATGTCAGTGGAACGAGTGCTCTGCTCATCTCTGCTCCAACAACCGCGGCCCCAGGCACAGGGTCAAAGCTTGACCTTGCCTTTGAATTCAAACGTCGATGGAGGCGAGCAACGTTTTCTTTCTTTCTGTCTTCAAAGGCACGCTCAGGATGCACATTTCAATTGTTGCACTCATCATGCACTCCGACGAAAGAATGTGTTCGGACCGAGATGTGACGGATGTCTAGGTTTCAATCTCTTTTTCAAAGCAGATTGGGCAAGGTTCATAGGGTTCATAGCACGCAGAGCAGAGAAACATAATGGAGGCCATCACCCTTAGGTTGGAGGCCATCGCTATTAGGTCGGAGGCCATCGCTAGTAGGTTGAAGGCCATCGCTATTAGGTTGGAGGCCATTGCTCTTAGGTTGGAGGCCATCGCTCTTAGGTTAGAGGCCATTGCTATTAGGTGGGAGGCCATCGCTATTAGGTTGGAGGCCATCGCTCTTAGGTTGGAGGCCATGGTTATTAGGTTGGAGGCCATTGCTGTTAGGTTGGAGGCTGTGAATTATCTACATTGGTGTTGGCCAAAAGCATTATCATTGCTGTCGGGCTCAAGACGTGCCCTGATTTGTGCGTCAGCGAAGGCTGGAAACTTGCTCGCCATAGCTTGTGCAAAACCTAGCGCTTGCTCGAGTCATTGCTTGTGGGGGAAAGGCGGACGGTGCTGCTTGGAGAGTTCTCGCTACCAGGGCTGTTGACTTTGTTGGGGGCTGTATGAATATTTTCAGATGAATATTAGGGGCTTATTGGCTCCAAATATCCATGGTGGGACGGAAGCTGGAGCACTATATGAGGACTACAAGATTCGGGTGGAGCTTCGTGCAGACGCTTGCAAGATCTTGCAAGACTGAGGACCTTCCATTTTTGGGCCCCTAGTAAGGCATTCGACACACTGGGGGAAATCAAGAGAGAACAGTTGAAAAAATCTGAGGGGTGGCACTATTAGGAGACACGTTTACAGAG